TATAGACCTCACCAAATGTTATAGATATAATATTGTACACTGTACCTCACCAAATGTTATAGATATAATATCGTACACCTTACCTCACCAAATGTTATAGATATAATATTGTACACCGTACCTCACCAAATGTTATAGATATAATATCGTACACCTTACCTCACCAAATGTTATAGATATAATATTGTACACCGTACCTCACCAAATGTTATAGATATAATATTGTACACCGTACCTCACCAAATGTTATAGATATAATATTGTACACCGTACCTCACCAAATGTTATAGATATAATATTGTACACCGTACCTCACCAAATGTTATTGATATAATATTGTACACCGTACCTCACCAAATGTTATAGATATAATATTGTACACCGTACCTCACCAAATGTTATATATATACATATTACACTGTAATTCAACAAGCGTTCCAAATTACATTAATGTAGATTGATGACACGACATTAAATGATGAGACTAAGTCGCACACTATAGGCCAGCAGTATACCTCGTGAAAGCTTGTCGTAAACATACAGCTATAATGCGTTAAGTGAGTGTAACTACACAGTCTTATTGCATGACGTGAACATGTATAAATGTTTAAAATATGTCGCCCCCGCCATCGAAATTTGATCTCACCAGGATGGAATTCACTACCGGTATAAGTGTGCAGTGTCGTCTGTTACATAGTCTTTATCATGCCTGTCGTTTCGCTACCGTATTATCACTGTCAGTTGTATATATAGTAACACCTAAAATGTCCCCTTTGTTTCCTTTGTGATGTCAGATCCTGATGATGTCATATCCATTAAGATGCCATCGGTGAAAGTTGGAGTAAGAATATCACAAATACAAGATGTTTATCAGTCTATTGAAATATTGTTCCGTTGGAAAAGTCCCTGAATTATGCGATCAACAGAGACATATACATGTATTCAGGAAACACAACTTGACGTTTTCATTACAGAAAAACGTTTACAAGCATATCACGGACCGCTCACTGAAGGTGACTATCAGAGTTTTGATTCTGACTCACGTGCCGCTCAGTGAAGGTGACTATCAGAGTTTTGAGGCGGACTCATGGACCGCTCAGTGAAGGTGGCTATCAGAGTTTTGAGGCGGACTCATTGACCGCACAGTGAGGATGACTATCAGAGTTTTGAGGCGGACTCATTGACCGCACAGTAAGGGTGACTATCAGAGTTTTGAGGCGGACTCATGGACCGCTCAGTGAAGGTGGCTATCAGAGTTTTGAGGCGGACTCATGGACCGCACAGTAAGGATGACTATCAGAGTTTTGAGGCGGACTCATTGACCGCACAGTAAGGGTGACTATCAGAGTTTTGAGGCGGACTCATGGACCGCACAGTAAGGATGACTATCAGAGTTTTGAGGCGGACTCATGGACCGCACAGTAAGGGTGACTATCAGAGTTTTGAGGCGGACTCATGGACCGCTCAGTAAGGATGACTATCAGAGTTTTGAGGCGGACTCATGGACCGCACAGTAAGGGTGACTATCAGAGTTTTGAGGCGGACTCATGGACCGCTCAGTGAAGGTGACTATCAGAGTTTTGAGGCGGACTCATGGACCGCACAGTAAGGATGACTATCAGAGTTTTGAGGCGGACTCATGGATTGCTCTGTGAGAGTCTATCAGAGTTTTTAGGCTGACTCATGGACCGCTCAGTGAAGGTGACTATCGGAGATTTGATTCTGACTCACGTGCCGGTCAGTGAAGGTGACTATCGGAGATTTTAGGCGGACTCATGGACCGCACAGTGAGGGTGACAATCAGAGGATTTAAGCGGACTCATGGATTGCTCTGTGAGAGTCGATCAGAGTTTTGATTCTGATTCACGGACCGCTCAGTGAGGATGACTATCAGAGTTTTTAGGCATGGACCGCTCAGAGGGAGTTACTATCAGAGGTTTGAGGCTCTGAATCACCGGTGTTCACCAAGCTATCATAGGGCTTACTTATAAACTGCTGGTGTTTTCCAAATTATCCTAGAGGGAGCTTACTTGTGAACAACTGGTGTTAACCAAATGATCCTAGAGAGAGCTTATTTGTGAACAACTGGTGTTAACCAAATAAACATAGAGAGAGCTTACTTTTAAACAGCTTGTATAACCAAATTATCCTAGAGGGAGCTTATTGTGAACAGCTGGTTTAACCAAATTATCTTAGAGAGCGAGAGAGAGCTTACTTGTAAACTGCTGATTTAACTAAATTATCCTAGAGAGAGAGAGGTTACTTATAAACCGCTGATTTAACCAAATTATCCTAGAGAGAGCTTACTTATAAACTGATGGTTTAATCAAATTATCCTAGAGAGAGAGAGAGCTTACTTATAAACTGCTGATGTTAACCAAATTATCCTGGAGAGAGAGCTTACTTATAAACTGCTGATTTGACCAAATTATCCTAGAAAGAACTTACTTTCAAACTGCTGGTTTGACCAAATTATCCTAGAAGGAGCTTACTTCTGAACAACTGGGATTCACCAAATTATCCTAAAGAGAGAGCTTACTTTTAAACTGCTTATTTTACCAAATTATCCTACAGAGAACTTACTTATAAACTGCTGGTTTAACCAAATAATCCTAGACAGAGCTTACTTTTAAACTGCTGGTTTAACCAAATTATCCTAGAGAGAGCTTACTTTTAAACTGCTGGTTTGAACAAATTATCCTGGAGAGAGAGAGCTTACTTTTAAACTGCTTATTTTACCCAATTATCCTACAGAGAACTTACTTATAAACTGCTGGTTTAACCAAATTATCCTAGACAGAGCTTACTTTTAAACTGCTGGTTTGACCAAATTATCCTAGAAGGAGCTTACTTCTGAACAACTGGGATTCACCAAATTATCCTGGAGAGAGAGCTTACTTTTAAACTGCTGGTTTAACCAAATTATCCTGGAGAGAGAGCTTATAAACTGCTGGTTTTACCAAATTATCCTAGAAGGAGCTTACTTCTGAACAACTGGGATTCACCAAATTATCCTGGAGAGAGAGCTTACTTTTAAACTTCTGGTTTGACCAAATTATCCTAGAGAGAACTTACTTATAAACTGCTGGTTTAACCAAATTATCCTAGAGAGAGCTTACTTATAAACTGCTGGTGTTTACCAAATTACCCTTGGTACAAAGTAAGATTTTAGAAGCTTGTCCACATAGACTTAATCATTCACGTAACTGATATGCCATGTGGATTTTACCTTTCGAACATCTTACTTCTGGAACATGTTAAATTATGAACATCTTACTTCCGTTAACCTCTTTGTTATGGACGTTTATTTATATAAATATTATATGTATTTCATAATGTCCCGGGGGGACATATAGTGTTTGCTCCGTTTCTTCTTATTATTATTATTTATATTATTCTTATTTCTTCCACTTTCTTCAGCCGGCAAGGTTTCCGACGCGTTTCTCAAAAACTATTGCATGGAATTTAACAAAACTTTACACACATATTCATGCATGCAAGGTGGAGTGCAGGCCACTTGAATTTTTCCATTCGGTCATCTGAGCGGTCAGCTGTGGCCTGAATTTGGCCAAATTTTAGATATTGGCCGATTTTCGTGAAAATTGGTATATATGTATTAGGTGGCACTATAGGAGGAAAATGGCATAGTCCATTTTTCATTCGGCCATCGATCGGTCATCTGAGCGGTCAGCTGTGGTCTGAATTTGGCCAAATTTTAGATATTGTCTGATTTTCGTGAAAATTGGTATATATGTATTAGGTGGGACTATATGGCGTAGTCCTTGTTCGGCATGACTGCATGTCTGATTATTGTGACCATTTACTGCTGAAGAGGTCGTTGTCCCCATTACAATTAGTACTTGTTTATATATAGTATATCTATTATATATATATATATATATATATATATATATATATATATATATTATGTAGTATATCTATATATTTTTTGATGCAGTTATTTGTGTGTGATGTTTTTTCTAAGTCAGTTGACCAGATTTATCAGGATTACACAGTTCTTCCTTCGTCGTTCGCCGTACGCCACGCGTAAATTTTTAACGTTTTTAACTTTTTTCTCCAGCAAGTTCCATCTATTAGATTGAACTGAAACTTGCCTGAAATGATATTGAGATGGTCCTGACCAGGTGTTGTTGTTTTTCTTATATATCAGAAATAAAATATGGCCGAAATTTTGAAAACACTTTTCAATTTTTTTAGTTTCATTGGTGGCATTGAGATGAAAATTAATGGAGAGAATCCGACAAAGTGCCTTTTTTTGACCTCATTAAAACTTTTATATGGCAGCCATACTGTGCTATCCTATTTTCTCTTTATCATTGTTTCACTGAACAATACATATTTTAAACTTGTTTTTCACCAGTGTGATTCCACTGACACTTACGTGATATGGTCCTGAGATTATGTTGACAAAGTGTTGTTATTTTTCGGATCCAATATGGTCGCCACGGTCGCGATCTTGAAAACCCATTTTTAACCTCATCTCAAGTTCCCCTATAGTTGCCGTGGTGCTAATCGATGAAGTGGAATGTGGAGAAACAGAAATGAGCAATGTTTTTTGCTTTGCTCTTAAAAATATAGAAAACTGTTTTAATCATTTGATATTACTAACACTACTGCTGTTGTTACTGAACATTTTATACATTACCTAAAATATATAGATGTTTTATAGTCAGATGACCGATAAGTCCCACGGGGCCTCTTGGTTTTTTTTTTTTTTTTTTTAATTATTATTTGTGCCTGTATTATAGTCACAACTTTGAAATATAATGTTGTGTTTGTTTTGGCCTTGTTTTTATCACAGAGAAACACAAAAAATACATTGGTTATCTGAGGATTGCAGTATTCAGAGAATTTCCGGAACATACCACGTTTTCACCCGTCAACTAAATATGAAAGTAGCAACTGTACTTACTCGACACGTGTAGGATTGCTTTTTTAATCACTTATATCTTTCCTTTTTTTCTTTTCTGTATTTGCAGGATGTGAAAAAATTGTCAAAGGCAAAAAAGACATAAAAATTCCCGCGAGAGCACTAACTGAGGACAACAAACACGGTAAATTCATATTATGATGTATAGTACGGACTGTGATATGTTGGTGTGTAGTGTGTAGTGAGGACTGTGATATGGTGGTGTGTGTTGTGTAGTGAGGACTGATATGTTGGTGTGTGGTGTAGTGAGGACTGTAATATGGTGGTGTGTGGTTAGGACTGTGATATGGTGGTTTGTGGTGTGTAGTGAGGACTGTGATATGGTGGTGTGTAGTGAGGACTGTGATATGGTGGTGTGTAGTGAGGACTGTGATATGGTGGTGTGTAGTGAGGACTGTGATTTTGTGGTGTGTAGTGAGGACTGTGATATGGTGGTGTGTAGTGAGGACTGTGATATGGTGGTGTGTTGTGTATTGAGTACTGTGATATGTTGGTGTGTGATGAGGACTGTAGTATGGTGGTAGGTTGTGTAGTGAGGATTGTGATATGGTGGTGTGTAGTGAGGACTGTGATATGGTGTTGTGTAGTGAGGACTGTGATATGGTGGTGTGTGGTGTAGTGAGGACTGTGATATGGTGGTGTGTTGTGTATTGAGGACTGTGATATGTTGGTGTGTGATGAGGACTGTAGTATGGTGGTAGGTTGTGTAGTGAGGATTGTGATATGATGGTGTGTAGCGAGGACTGTGATATGGTGGTGTGTTGTGTAGTGAGGACTGTGATATGATGGTGTTTAGTGAGGACTGTGATATGGTGGTGTGTTGTGTAGTGAGGACTGTGATATGGTGGTGTGTAGTGAGGACTGTGATATGGTGGTGTGTGTTGTGTAGTGAGGACTGTGATATGGTGGTGTGTGGTGTAGTGAGGACTGTAATATGGTGGTGTGTGATGAGGACTGTGATATGGTGGTGTGTAGTGAGGACTGTGATATGGTGGTGTGTTGTGTAGTGAGGACTGTGATATGGTGGTGTGTAGTGAGGACTGTGATATGGTGGTGTGTGTTGTGTTGTGAAGACTGATATGTTGGTGTGTGGTGTAGTGAGGACTGTAATATGGTGGTGTGTGGTTAGGACTGTGATATGGTGGTGTGTGGTGTGTAGTGAGGACTGTGATATGGTGGTGTGTAGTGAGGACTGTGATATGTCGGTGTGTGGTGTAGTGAGGACTGTGATATGGTGGTGTGTTGTGTATTGAGGACTGTGATATGGTGGTGTGTGATGAGGACTGTGATATGGTGGTGTGTTGTGTAGTGAGGACTGTGATATGGTGGTTTGGGGTGTGTAGTGAGGACTGTGATGTGGTGGTGTGTGTAGTGTAGTGAGGACTGTGATATGGTGATGTGTTGTGAGGACTGTGACATCGTGGTGTGTGGTGTGTAGTGAGGACTGTAATATAGTGGTGTGTAGTGTTGTGAGGACTGTGATATGATGGTGTGTAGTGAGGACTGTGATATGGTGGTGTGTTGGTAGTGAGGACTGTGATATGGTGGTGTGTAGTGAGGACTGTGACATGGTGGTGTGTGGTGTGTAGTGAGGACTGTGATATGGTGGTGTGTAGTGAGGACTGTGATATGGTAGTGTCTGGTGTAGTGAGGACTGTAATATGGTTGTGTGATGAGGACTGTGATATGGTGGTGTGTAGAGAGGACTGTGATTTGGTGGTGTGTAGTGAGGACTGTGATATGGTGGTGTGTAGTGAGGACTGTGATATGTCGGTGTGTGGTGTAGTGAGGACTGTGATATGGTGGTGTGTTGTGTATTGAGGACTGTGATATGGTGGTGTGTGTTGAGGACTGTGATATGGTGGTGTGTTGTGTAGTGAGGACTGTGATATGGTGGTTTGGGGTGTGTAGTGAGGACTGTGATGTGGTGGTGTGTGTAGTGTAGTGAGGACTGTGATATGGTGGTGTGTAGTGAGGACTGTGACATCGTGGTGTGTGGTTTGTAGTGAGGACTGTGATATAGTGGTGTGTAGTGTTGTGAGGACTGTGATATGATGGTGTGTAGTGAGGACTGTGATATGGTGGTGTGTTGGTAGTGAGGACTGTGATATGGTGGTGTGTAGTGAGGACTGACATGGTGGTGTGTGGTGTGTAGTGAGGACTGTGATATGATGGTGTGTAGTGAGGACTGTGATATGGTGGTGTGCAGTGAGGACTGTGATGTGGTTTGGTGATAAAATATTGGTGGAAAAACGATTCCTGTGTATTCAGAACATACCCGCCTTTCTGAACACCTGATTTCGTCCCGCGTTGTAGTATTAACAAAACAACAAACAATACCAACACGTCATGAGAATCATTATCAAAGCTCAGCTTCAATAGAATTAGGGCAAAATATGAACAAAATAAAGAATCAACCTAAGACTCCTGAAAAAAGACCAGGAGAATAAGACCAGGTGTTCCGAAAGAGTAAGTGTCTTCGTCAACATCGCTCGCCATGTAAATCTTGGTCAGTCCAAGTAAGTAATGTCACATTCTTAAATGAGAACAAGGTATACAACAACGGAACCAAAAGGCAAACAAACGAACACAAACACTTCCAGCTTCATATCACACAAAAATAGACTATTTCTCGGTGAAATCACTCTGACGACCATAAAACTTCCCCAGAATTTTCATCAACCTGTATTTTTGAAACCTTGCTTTACCAGTTTGTCCATCAGTTGACGACTTCTTGCAGAAAAATTGTGATAATGGGAACAGGCTCTTGAATATCGATTCAAATGCGACATGTAATTATATTATTATAATGGTTATTTAAAGACTAGACATCATCTGTATATTAGACGACTTTGCAAGGTCTTTGTGGTCTGTTTTGTTTAGCTCTTTTATAAATTCAGCCTCGTATGAAAACAAGAACAAGTCAGCCAACAGAGGGTCACAGTTAATTCTTATAGTATGCCAATAGCCTGTGGGAAGATCTTGACACCAAGAAGATGTTGTCAACCAGAAGCTTTATCATTTTATATGATTTCGTCCACCGTATATTTCTGCTTTAATTTGGATGTATTTGTCACGAAATACGCTTCGATAAAGTTCACAACCAAGGTTGACGAGCAGGTGATTTCTTTCGTTTGACATTTAGGATTGGATAGAAGGGACTGGTCAGTAAAAGCTGGAGTTATCACGAATGATATTCATTATGCCTTTTTACAGATTTCTGTCATAAGTCACATCCTCTTATTTAATAGGGTGTTGTTATACCTGACATTAGACATAAGAATCTTGAAACGTCTTGACATTATACTATAGATATCGGAAAATACATTATTACAGGTATCGTAAACATAGAAAGTAACCATTTGAATGTCTCAATGTTGATGTTACCGATAAGACTATTGTTCTAAAGACGAAGTTGTAGTCCGCTAACACTCTCGCTACAAGAAGATATTACTTAAGCTCTGTCATGTTTGGTTTCAGGCGTTACCTATTAAAAGACGGCTGTTTTCATCGCCTCTGGACGACATGGACGAGGAGGAAAAGAAAGCAGAGGAGAAGAGAAAGCAACTTGAGGAAGAAACGTTAGATATAGGCAAGTAATTAGAAAGATGATGTTATCTATAGAACGCCTAGTGCTTCATCTGGCAATTTCTAATATTTTCCTTCGTTCTAATTCGTCGTTGTTCTAATCTGATGTTTGTTTTTTTACATTGTATCTTCATTGTGTTGTTATTCGCCCTGAGTTGCTTCTGACATAACCCTTCTTTCTTTGCTGCAATCTTACTGGTCTAACTTTCAAATTACATTCGATTGTATTGTTAACTGAATTAAAAAGGCGCAAATGTAGATCAAACCATGGAATATCTTATGTTGTGTTTGTGTTTTGGTGATGTTGTATAGCATTTGTGTTTTGGTGTTATTGTATATTTTGTGTTTCGATGACGCCGTGTATTTTGCAAGAGTGCTTCGATGTTGGAAAATTTTGGTGTAGTGTTATGATGCAGTTGTATATCATGTGGTATATCGTATGGTCTGTGTACCTTGGTATATTGTAGGGTCTGTGTACCGTGGTATATTGTATGGTCTGTGTACCTTGGTACATTGTATGGTCTGTGTACATTGGTATATTGTATGGTCTGTGTACCGAGGTATATTGTAGGGTCTGTGTACCGTGGTATATTGTATGGTCTGTGTACATTGGTATATTGTAGGGTCTGTGTACCGTGGTATATTGTATGGTCTGTGTACCGTGGTATATTGTATGGTCTGTGTACATTGGTATATTGTAGGGTCTGTGTACCGTGGTATATTGTATGGTCTGTGTACCGTGGTATATTGTAGGGTCTGTGTACCGTGGTATATTGTATGGTCTGTGTACCGTGGTATATTGTATGGTCTGTGTACCGTGGTATATTGTATGGTCTGTATACCGTGGTATATTGTATGGTCTGTGTACATTGGTATATTGTATGGTCTGTGTACCGTGGTATATTGTATGGTCTGTATACCGTGGTATATTGTATGGTCTGTGTACCGTGGTATATTGTATGGTCTGTGTACGGTGGTATATTGTAGGGTCTGTGTAACGTTGTATATTGTATGGTATGTGTACCGTGGTATATTGTAGGGTCTGTGTACATTGGTATATTGTATGGTCTGTGTACCGTGGTATATTGTATGGTCTGTGTACATTGGTATATTGTATGGTCTGTGTACATTGGTATATCGTATGGTCTGTGTACATTGGTATATCGTATGGTCTGTGTACATTGGTATACCTAATTGTGTTCATGTTGTATTATTTTTACTACGTTTCAATGGTTGACATTGTAGGAAGCTCTGGATCAGTGGACGGCTTGGTTAAACAAAAGGAGGCGCCTGCTGACAGAAAGAGAAACCTTGTTTTTGACGAGGAAAGATTTGAAGATACTTTTCTGAAGTGTCTTATTTGTCGTGAGAATTTTGATGACGACGAGAAATCTCCCAAGATGTTGCCTTGTCACCACACCTTCTGCCTTGATTGTTTACGTCAGATGTTCCGAGTAGAGGGAGAATTTCGTCAGAATTTATCATCAGCCTTTCGTCACATGCCTATGGCGGTAAAAATTTGCTGTCCATCATGTCGAGAGGCCCTGATATTGTCAGATGCGGAGATTGTTCGCTTGCCAAACGACCACACAGTGTTAGAGCTGCTGACCTTCGTCAAGTCCACTGGGAAAAAAGATGTACAGTATTGTGTTAAACACAAAATGCAGCCACTGAACTTTTTCTGTGAGCCTTGCATTTTACCCGTGTGCTGTGACTGCACAGTGCTTGACCACAAAGAGAAAAATGGCCACCGAGTGATGAATGTGGATGAAGCGCTAGACAAATATACTCCTGTCTTAGACGAAACTCTGGCTGATCTGCAAAGTGCAGAACAGACGTTACAGGATAAACGGCAGTCCCTTGAGAAAGCAGCCGATAACATTGAACAAATTCAGCGCGAATTGGCTGTCCAAATTCGTCAAACTTTCGATCGTCTGCGGGACGCCATTGATGAACGAGAGAGGGAACTATTCAAAATGTCCGAATCAGAAATTGATCGAAAGCGAATGGAAATTGATGAACAACTGCAAATTGTTCAAAGCAGGCAAGAAGCACTGATGGCTGAAAAAGAAAAATTGAATAGTGCGCGGGACGACAAAAACATTAGTGCCATGTTTAGCAACCACCAGACTGCGCGGGAGACACTGGAGAAAAAAGTCCATATACCTGGCCCATCTCCTTCATCTAAAGATTTCGCAGTTAGCTTTCAGTTCAACAGTCGACAGGAGAATGTGATTAAAGCTAGTATCGCTGGCCTTGGAGACGTTTCTTTCAAACTGTCATGATTTAATGGCGTGGAGTATAATGTGTGCTGGCATTTGCCAATGAATGTGCATTTCAAAAGAAAGTTATGTGTCTTTTTCATACAAGTGTTATAACTACAAATTGTATTTGACATTTTAATGATGATTTAGGTTACTATATCTTAAGTTCGGAAAACAACTACATTGATTTAATTTTGTTGTAATGTATTTCATTAATGTCCCGAACACAGAGCACTTTAAGCAAACTTCGCATTCATTTTCGACAAAACAATATTTCTAGCTTCCTGTATCTGAATTGCAAGAGTTTGGCGATATCTTCTTTTTTCTGTGTATTTTGCAGTGGGAAATGGTTTACAATCATACACATATATTTCACGAACTTGTAAGTCCTATACATAACATGTGAAAATTACATGTGAATTACGTGTATTTGCCATCTAAACCACGTCTAGAAAACTTTATAAATATCTTTGTATTTTATCATATTTCAACCTAGGTATTGTTTTTTTTATGTAATAAAGTATATAACGATGTAAAAATAGAATTGCCTTGAATTCTACCGATTACCGGAAAGTGACAACATCGTTGTTACCGAAGAGCTGATCAAAACTTCACAAATACCTTTTTGAGTCTTCCAATTACAATTTTAAATCATTATATTGATGATGTCTTGCCATTCAAAAAACAAAAACAAACAAACATAAAACTAACAAAACGTTATTGACTAAATACTCGCTTGAATTATACATCTTGGACACGACAGACTCTCCCACATCAGTCGTGTATCACGATCTTTCCATAAAACAAAATCCAGAGGGATATGTTATAAAAAATGTATGATGAATGTGATGTAGTTTTTGCTATATCTGGGGAGAAACAACACTGCACCATTTACCTGTGGTGTGTAAATGTGTCGCTTGTTCTCAACGGAACGATTTCCGTGCAAGATGTCGGCAATTGAAAGATAAATACACATGAACGCGTTTCGGGAGATGCAGGGTGATAGAGGGACAGTTTTACGGTCGTCTTAATGATCTCACAGGGACATATTTCTTTATGTGATATAAAAGTTGATGCTCGTTATTATATATGTTAGATCCGTTGTATCTTTTTCTCATTTGGTAACTTGACATTACTTACCACTTTCTGTGGCGGATATTGTCGATAAAGAAGACGCATACTCTTCAGGAACACCTGGTTTTATTCTCCTTTTTCACCATTTTTGTTGTATTTGAGTTTGAATTTGCCTTGATGGCATTTTCTTTGTTGTTTTGTTTTAGTTTCTTACATACACCGTACCTGTTTATTGTACAACAGACAAGATACACCGTACCTGTTTATTGTACAACAGACAAGATACACCGTACCTGTTTATTGTACAACAGACAAGATACACCGTACCTGTTTATTGTACAACAGACTAGACACACCGTACCTGTTTATTGTACAACAGACTAGACACACCGTACCTGTTTATTGTACAACAGACTAGACACACCGTACCTGTTTATTGTACAACAGACTAGACACACCGTACCTGTTTATTGTACAACAGACTAGACACACCGTACCTGTTTATTGTACAACAGACTAGACACACCGTACCTGTTTATTGTACAACAGACTAGACACACCGTACCTGTTTATTGTACAACAGACTAGACACACCGTACCTGTTTATTGTACAACAGACTAGACACACCGTACCTGTTTATTGTACAACAGACTAGACACACCGTACCTGTTTATTGTACAACAGACTAGACACACCGTACCTATTCTACAAAAGATCAGAGGTTATTCGTACTTGTTCACTTTAACACTGTCATCAATTATCCGTGAATGTAACTAGAAATTATTCTGGTTTAAGCTATCTTTCCTTATCCGGTAACCACAAAAACAAAACACTCTTAAGAATTATCGTTGTAGAAGTAACTCGCTGAAAAAAAAAGAAAATGATGTATATCGGTAGAAATAGTTATCGTTTTCATTACACAGGTACGTTATCAGACGGCTGGACGTCTACTATGCATGTTTGTGTAGTTAATAATATATATATATATATATATATTGTAACACTAGATATACGCTTTGTGGTTTTACACTAAAATGATATCGATGTAATTTTATTACTTTTTTCTTATGCATTGGTGATATAAATATACCATTTTAATGATATGAATATATTAATGTATGCTCAGTATCTTATTAATTAGTAACACTACTATTAAATTCTACAGTAAACCATATCTCGTATTTCATTCTTTATTGCAACAGTTTACATAGATGTGTCCTTTTCAACCACCATACGGTAAAGAAATCGATGTGTCCTGTCCACCTCCATACGGTAAAGAAATCGATGTGTCCTGTCCACCCCCATACGGTACATAAATCGATGTGTCCTGTCCACCCCCATACGGTAAAGAAATCGATGTGTCCTGTCCACCCCCATACGGTAAAGAAATCGATGTGTCCTGTCCACCCCCATACGGTAAAGAAATCGATGTGTCCTGTCCACCCCCATACGGTAAAGAAATCGATGTGTCCTGTCCACCCCCATACGGTAAAGAAATCGATGTGTCCTGACCACCCCCATACGGTACATAAATCGATGTGTCCTGTCCACCCCCATACGGTAAAGAAATCGATGTGTCCTGTCCACCACCATACGGTAAAGAAATCGATGTGTCCTGTCCACCCCCATACGGTAAAGAAATCGATGTGTCCTGTCCACCCCCATACGGTAAAGAAATCGATGTGTTCTGTCCACCACCATACGGTAAAGAAATCGATGTGTCCTGTCCACCACCATACGGTAAAGAAATCGATGTGTCCTGTCCACCATCATGCGGTAAAGTAATGGTCAAAGGCACGGTTGGATTTATAAAAAAGTAGGGTTGAACTAAAACTACAAAAGAGAATAAGAGAAACAATACAATGATTGCTATTTATAGGAGATAGTTCAAACCCTGGTTCTAGGGAATTGGGAAACGAAGTGGCAAAATAGGACAGTAAATATGAATGATGAGAGGATTCAATCTCGTGATCTTAGTCAGATTATACTGAACTTTTGTTGTTGTTAACTTATATAATCAGGACTCTTTTGTACTCGAGCACGAGTTCGAGACGTACTGTGAGCTGAGGCTGACGTCTACTGGTTTTTACCATTAGTGGCATGGTCATGAACTCAACAGAACTTGATAACGATAGTTGAACCTTTATTTCATGTTGTGACTTGTTAGATTCTGTTGTAGTCTTTAATGTGACTCGTCGTGTTTTTGTGGCTTTCCAGTACCTGACGTAGTCTTGTTTGTAATTCGTCACTTCCTGTGTAGACTTTCGTTGATGACTCGTAACTTCCTGCTCTAGACTTGTATATAACTCGTCACTTTCTGTTGTAGTCTTATGTTTATGACTTGTCATTTTCTGTTGTAGTCTTTCGTTTATGACTCGTCATTTCCTGTTGTAGTCTTTTGTTAATGGCTCGTCACTTCCTGTTGTAGTCTTCCGTTTCTGACTCGTCACTTCCTGTGAAGACTTTTGTTAATGGCTCGTCACTTCCTGATGTAGTTTTCCATTTATGACTCGTCACTTCCTGTTGTAGTCTTCCGTTTATGACTTGTTACTTCCTGTTGTAGTATTTCGTTTATGACTCGTCACTTTCTGTTGTAGTCTTTCGTTTATGACTTGTCACTTCCTGTTGTAGTCTTTCGTTTATGATTTGTCGCTTCCTGTTGTAGACTTTTGTTTATGACTTGTCACTTCCTGTTGTAGACTTTTGTTTATAATTTGTCACTTCCTGTTGTAGACTTTTGTTTTTTATAAGTAACTTCCTGTTGTAATTTCTCACTGTAAATCATCACGTTTTGTTATAATTGACTTTTGTTTCTGGTTCATCTATTTTTTGGCTCATCAGTTCTTGTTGTGAAGCAGAAAATGTTCTGGAACACTTTGTCGTATTCACTTTGTACGGTTGCCGCTAAGGCCGTAATCTTGTCTTTATTTTAACTTTTGGTTTAACCGAAGTAGAATTTGTGTTGACATGCCGGTGATCACTTTGTTGTATTTGGCTAAACTGGATCTATTTAATAGTGCTTATCTTTGGTATATTTTCTATAATCCTTTATCATTGTCTGGAAATACTGTTTTAATCCTTTGTCACATCACAGTGACCACTGACTTAATCCACCACTGAAATGAAGCAACAAAAAGCACAGGACATGCAAAGATACATGGAAACTAAGAGTGAGAGTAAGTATAAAAGATATGCCAAAACCAGAAACAAGTAAAATGGCGGCTAAGGAAAGCCAGAAGGGAAGGAAAACAAGTATAAAAGAGCATGTAAAGCAACAACTCCAAACGTTTTTGGAAGTACGTAAACTCCACGAGAAAAATTAAAACAGGTATTTCAGACTTGAAGAGACTACATGGAGATGAGCAGCAGATGGCAGTACAAGACAGACAAAGCCGAGGTCCTAGCCAAATTCTTTAGTAGTGGTTTTACAGAGGAACCTCCGGGCACGTTACCTGAATTTTAAAACAGAACTCCAATCCTCCCTTTCAAGGAAATTGTCAGTTATCAGAATGTCGTGGAAAAATTACTTGTGAATTTAAATGAAAAAAGTCACAGAGACCTGATAGGATGCAAAGGGAAAACATAGAATGCACAGGGACAAGATAGTATGCACAGGGACCAGATAGAATGTACAAGGACCAAATAGAATGCACAGGGACCAGATAGAATGCACAGGGAGCAAATAGTATGCACAGGGACCAGATAGAATGCACAGGGAACAGATAGAATGCACAGGGACCAGATAGAATGCACAGGGAACAGATAGAATGCACAGGGACCAGATAGAACGCAAAGGGACCAGATAGTATGCACAGGGACCAGATAGAATGCACACGGAACAGATAGAATGCACAGGGAACAGATAGAAAGCACAGGGACCAGATAGAATGCACAGGGACCAGATAGAACGCAAAGGGACCAGATAGAATGCACAGGGACCTGATAGAAAGCACAGGGACCAGATAGAATGCACAGGGACCTTAGAGAATGCACAGGGACCTGAGAGAATGCACAAGGACCTGAGAAAATGCACAGGGACCTGAGAAAATGCACTCAAATATTCTAAAATAGATAAGAAATAATATAAGTTCCTCTTTGGTAGATATATTTAACAAATCATTGTCAGAAGGAAAACTACAGGAAGTCTGGAAAGAAGCAAACATAACCGCAGTGATGTCATCATCCGCATGACTAAAGTGTGTGTGTGTGTGTGTGTGTGTGTGTGTGTGTGTGAGGGTGTGTGTGTGTGTGCGCGCCTTACAAGTGTAATAGTGAAGACACTAGAAAAAACTTGTAAGAGATAGTATTGTTAAACATATGAACAAAAATAACTTGTTAAGTCACAAACAATTTGGGTTTATCTCTGGGAGTCAACCCAACTACAATTGCTAACAGTACTTGAAGAATGGACAGAAATGATAGACAAAGGTGGAAAGTTAGATGTCATATACATGGATTTCATGCAGGCATTTGATATAGTGCCACACCAGCGTTTACTAAAAAGTGACCAGGATATGGTGTAAGCTTTCAGATCGTAGAGTGGACTTTCTTAGAAACAGATGTTGACTAGCGAGCAATAGTCAACGGCGAGTCATCTGAAGCATACCCGGTAGTGAGTGGTATCCCCCAGGCCCAATATTATTTGTTGTTTACATCAACGACCTTCCAAAAACACCAGTGTCCCGATCGCCACTTTTTGCCGATGATACTAAATTATATAGACAGATCAGCAGCGGCGAGGATATTGAAACACTTTGGAATGATTTGGACAATTTTGACAAGATGTCGAACAAGATGTTGCTCAAAGCGACTCAAAAACGAAAATATTATATGGAAGGATCCGGAGGAGAAAGAATGCAGCTGGAAAATGTTACGAACAAAAAGGACATTGGTGTCATCATAGACGAGGACTTTAACTTAAAAACGCCCATACAGTTAACGGTCAATAAAGCAAACTGTATATTAGGATTGACAAGGAGATATGTTGTATACCTGGACGAATCCATGTTTAAAACGTTATCTAAAGCACTTTTTAGATCCCGCCTGTAATCTGCTGCGAGTGTCCGGAGCCCATCAAAAGTAAAAGATAAAGAACTCATTGAAAATGTGCAGAGAAGGTCTACAAAAGTACTCCTTGGACTTAAAAATCTGTCTTACCCGCAACGGTTGTAAAAAGTTAAATCTGCAGACACTACAACACCACAGGACAAGAGGAGATAAACGTTTTCACAATATTAACTGAATATATAATAGTAGGGTAACAAGAGACCTTTTCCATATGGACAATATGAATAGGACCAGAGGTCACGATCAAAAATATTTAAGAAGCGATATCGTCTTGATGGAAGGAATAATTTCTTCAGCTATCGAGTTGTAGATTTAAGGAATAGCTTACCCCAAAATGTTGCCAATGCTGAATCTGTGATACAATTTGAAATAAGACTAGATGAACACTGGAAAAATAACCCTATACAGTAACTTATGTTAAGCCATTACACTGAGGAATTCTTTACATTATGCTATGTATTGATATTGATATGGACATCGAGGCTATAAGCCTGCGTCCATTACTTATGCTACTAAAAATAACTGAGATTTGGGCAGCCCATTAGTACATTTAATTAGGGTAGGTTTCTAGTATACGGTTGTACCAGCAGCAACTCTATACTTTTCAAGTTTTACGTAATCAAATTTTTAACCTGAATTAATACGACTCCTTATAAAATGTCACCTAAAAGGAAATACCTAATTATACACCCACACGCACAGCTTTGATTTATATCTATACTGTACATCGGTCTGGTCTGTCAATATTAACTCGTGGTGTACAAACAATAATTAAGCTGGGCTAAGCAGATCATTGGTCTAGTGGTCGTACCAGCAAATCCATGTCTTTATTCATGTCTTGATTTTTTTTCCTTTTCTTTTGAAACATTACGTCCGCCTACGTTTAAACCTCAATCGTTACGTCTCAGTTTTTGTCCATGCGCAGTAAGATGTAAAACAAGGTCATGGGCGATCGTCGCGCGCAACGTATTATGAACAACGGGCAGACGACAGCTAACATGGCAGCTCCACTTTATCATCCTGGTGCTAGGGTTGCCGCCCTGGTCGAATGATGAGCACCTTATCCCCCGGCTAAACAAGGTAGGCAATGTCACCATTTAAAGTGACCATTTGGCAGCTTGACTTCTTGGCGCGACATCAATCACAACAGGTGGTTTAAAATCTAGCGTAATGTCGGCGGAGAGGTTCGTTCCTCATAATATATACTGTACAGTACGTTTTAGAATTACTGTTTTCACTTTTATCCCACCTAATAAGTATAATCGAATTACATTGAACCTCCGCTTTGAAATAGCAGTTATATGCCTATATGTCATACTTGGACTGATTCTGTTGACGTCCACCGTACGGTGCATGGTTCAATGCGTCCGTCAGACATCAAAATGTTACGTAGTTTGAAAGGGTATGAAGGTAGTTTTGACTATGTGACTATTGTGATTGTCAACATGCTGTCGCTCAGTAGCCACCGGGCGAAAAGGGAGGCTCTCGACACAGAGACACGGTCGTGCCGTCAACATAGGAGACCGTTCATTCTACTGCACTTTTGAAGGAACAAGTGTGAAGATTTTTAGATTTGTGTACGTCCTCATAATTTTAGTGTTTATTTGAAAAAGTATGGCCTTTGTATTCCAAATGAGTAGAAGATAAATATGTCCGCAAAGTATTGCATTATTTCAATAGATTCAAGCATTTTGTTATATGATAAGCTAAACTTTTATCTTTTATTCACTTTTGCTCCCAACAGTATTTTCCCATTTTGGTTTTAAAATTTCTCAATAAACTTGAATCTAGTTGTAAATAAAAGAGCTGTGGTTTTACTACATACATCAGTATGTGTTAAAAATTTATACCTTTCAAATGCTAGACTGAAATTCATGATATTAAGAGAATTAGAAACTTATGTGCCTTTAGAATAATAAGCTTCCATAATAAAAGTACTACTGTTGTCTAAACATCACATTTGTTATGTGTTCTGTACCTTTCACAATTCATAGCACTATTTCTCTTTAGATTAAACATTAGCAAAGAAAATGCACACACATAAAACCAAAGTCTTGATGTGAAAGCTTCATTCAAAATTAGTTAAATATTTAAAACAATCTTGGATATTATATGAAACAAACATAATTGAATACAAGTAACTATATTAAACTAGAACAGAAGACAATTCACCGTTTGCTACGGTATCTCATGAACTGTGGGACCTAATAAGTGCACCTTTCCATAGGAGCTAGTCTACATACCTTTTTTTCAGGGTAAGAGGATGAGTTTGCTAATTGAAACCCACTGAAAAAGTTTCTAGTATGACTGAGCTGAACTTCAGTCTTTTGAACATAGGCTTTGTTTTAGATAAATGGAAAAAAAGAACAAAAATCACTCTGATTAGTAATAGTATTAACAATAACCATGGATGAGTGGATGTAACTGTTCGTGATTGACAGGTATACAGTAGAGGTGTAACAATATATTGATGAATTGATTACAATAAACTTGTTCAATTTCAATGCATCAATTTATCAATTGAAATTGATTTATTATTGTAATTTTCATTTGATCCATCATCTACCCAGTGTGGAGTTATTGATTAAATCATTAACAGTTTGGTGTCATCTCGTCAAAGTTATTTATGGATGTTTCTCAAAGCCCCTAAAGCAGGAATTCTTATAATTACAAAGTAGAAGTGTCTTAACAAACAGGTATGATTGACTTTGTTCAAATAATATTAACTCAAATGTCAAGTACAGCATTACACTGATCAAGGGGAGGTCACTCTAATTTGCCAAAAACACAGGAGCTGGAGCACTGATGCAAAATTCATCATTGTGAAAACAATTTTTGTATTTATACAGGAAAACTTTCATCAATTGTTTTTGCTACATAAAGGTCTGTAAATGAAAAAAAAAATATTCATTGTTGTATTTGTCATCATACTTGTATATTATGGAGCATTTCCCTTTTGTGATTTTTTAAGCACACTACGCTTGTTAGGTTGAATACAGTAAGGGAGGAAAGTGTAATATTTGATGAAATACAGGGCTCTCGATCTGCCAGATTTGGGGCCGAATTCCCAATGCAAAATAGTATCTTTTTTCCCAATTTAGACCCCAAGTTTTCTCAATTCTAAGGAAAACGCCGCTATTTTTCCCAATTCTAAGGGCCCCGGGCCCCAGTCCCAAAATGGGGTGCGAGAGCCCTGAAATAGTAATAAATTTTGTTTACATTGTACACATAAGACATGAATCATGATCGTCAAACAAACTTACATCTGCTTTCTAAATCTGTTTGAATTGTAACTTTCTTCAGGGAAAGAAAAAAGATTGAAGTATGATTGATTGGAATATGTTTAAAAGCCAACATGTATGCATGGGGTAAGGCAGATTTTGTTATTAATTAAGGCATGATAAAGGGATTATTTTTTGTTTTACTTGAAAAGTCAGCTTGCAGTAGATTTATTTATTCTAGAATGAGAACTAATATCTCTCCACATTGTCAATGATAGCAATACTTTGTGCCAGCGTTTTTATATTCCAAAAAGACAAAGTCTCAAGTGACCTAATGCAATCATCTTGTGTCTGGCATGGTGCTTCGTTGTTCATAACTATTATTTTCTGTTTTGACTTCTTCTCAATAACCTAAAGGTCCAGGGTCATGATATAAGGCAAGTTGCCTGCCTGTGTAATGTTGTGCGATCCCACAACTGTATTATCAGTTTACCTATTTTCAAAATAAGAGCTATCAAATGTGTTGAAATCTTTAAAATCTTTTTATGACTTCTTATCAATAACAGATATTGGACCAGCTGCATGATGAGATGAAGGACTACCAAGCTTGTTCAAATGAATGACCTTGACCTACTTTTTAGGTCGCAGGGGTCAAGTGTGTTAAAATCTTTAAATGGCTTCTTCTCAATAAGCAAATGAACCGGAGTCATGATATTAGCAGGGCTCGATGTAAACGGTTGCCAGATTGCCTGTGGCAAGTAAAAATTGGTGTTGGGCAACATGATTTTACCAGTAATTTGCCCGATCGGGCAAGCGAAAAACATTCAGCCAGATATATGATCAAAGTCTTCTGTTAACGATCATGTCATGTACTGGTAGAAATATCGTATTGAAAATCATTACTACATTTTCTTACTTAAGTCTTCCTGAAATGTCAACTCTAAAATAACACATCCTGACAAATGTTTCCTTTAGGCAGGTTTGCAAATTTGATAGTTCTGTTTGAGCTTGTACTTAGTATGCCTCTCTCAACTAGCTGTGTGGAAAGAGGATTCTCTGCAGTCAAATGTATCAAAACAGACTGGAGATCAAGCTTTGGAGTTGACACCCTTGAGCATTTGATGAGGATTTCATTGAATGGACAAAGTACCTCAGAATTTGACCCAAACTTGGCTATTAAACACTGGTGGGAATCTGGTGAATGATCACGAATGCCTTGTTGTGAATAAAAACATAAACTTGTTACTTCATTACATTTTAAGAGACTGTAAATAAAAGACAATCTAAAGGAACATAAGATAGTCTCTTTTTTTTCAAACATACAGTGCAATGTTTACACTAGAGTAAAAACCTAATAATTCAATATCATTTGTATGGACAAGTTAATTTCGGCAACAGGCAAGTAGAAATAGAAAAGGTAACGTCGAGGCTTGATTAGGCCAGTAGTGTGCAGGGATGAATGCCTATCATGTTGTTGAAATGAATGACCTTGACCTTCATTCAAGTTCAAGGGGTCAAATAGGCTAAACAACAATAACCAACAGTATTATCAGTTCCGTTTAATTGAAAATTAAACCCTTGTATTTAGAAACAGTATAAACTTTGTAAGTTATCAGTTCTGTTCTGTCTGCCCCAATGCTAATGGACAGTTTTTAAAACTGTCCAAAGACCTGAAGACCTCACGTGACTATTAAGACCCACGGGCCTCTTGTTTCTCCATAATTGTGGAATGTACACAAGTTATGATTTAGCATCTTGGTTCATTAATGAAGTTATCTCGATCCTCTCCCTTAGAGTACTTAAGTCTGAATTTTGAGGTTAATAACACTTTACAGTTATTACACAAGTTTGTGTCACATATTACCACTACAAGTGGCAACCTGTGTAATTGTGGCAAATAAGACTTCTAAGGGATGTCAACAACAACAGTAACCTTTATGTAAGTGTATATAGTTAGTGAAGTTTACCTGTCTTCCAATTTTTCATTTTACTTGGAAGAAATGGGCAAGGATCAGATAAATGGAAATAATTACGGGCGTCACATATAAGACTTATTTCTCAATGAAAAATATATGAATATTTCATCACAAGAGTTATTTTAATTCAATTTTGACAGTGCATATAACTGAAATAACATGGTGTCAGCACCTATTAAAATATTTGATTAATATTCAAATTTGTTAAAAATGTCAACTAAAATCGAAAGATATATAAGGGTATTCAGAACCATGCATGTCAAAATCCAAAATTTTCAGTTTTGTGAAAATGAGCCAGAAAAGATGAAGCATAGGCATCAAAGTTAAGATATTAAAGATAATAAATAACCCAAATAATTAAAGTAATCATCTGTTTTATCGTTTAAAAATATAAAGACAAAATGCTGTGATGGACGTAACTTGAAGGGTCAAACATGATGTCGCTAGATTTTTGGTATTATTTTAGTGTGACCTAACGCAGCATAATCAGGAAAAAAATGACTACATAAATAATATCAATTAACGAAGTGCAGAACGTTCTAGACATGTCAGAGTATATATTGAGCTAATTTGAAGTATTTTCCTTCCCCCGTGTGGAATTCGGTCAGTTTTGTTACGGGCGTTCGGGTCCGGTAATTTACGGTTTCCGGATACTACATTGCGACACAATTTGCTGTTTCCATCTTTAGTGTGTCATTGTGTGTATAACATCACCAAAAGTGGTGTACAGTCGGAAGATGGCTTCTGTGTGGGTGAGTATGTGCGATCGGTCAACATATTCTCAGTTGTTACGGGCATCACGTAATTTTATGAATGTGAATAGATGACGAACGGTACAATAAATGTATACAATTTTGAGTTGTGATTCAGTTTAACACTGTCA